GATGCATGGTCGATTAAAGTACACTATGGTCTATGGTCTGCTATAGTGTATTATAGTATACGATAGTCGGTTATCGTATACTATGGTCTTGTTCTTCGGTTATGCTGTGACACTGGTCCGTTACAGCTTGAATGCGAAGGAGCTTCAACTCTTCAGCTCGGGATGGCACGCATTCCTCAACTCCGGCAGCTGAAGCACCCCTACAAGCATATTGTAGTCAATTACAGTGTATTATAGCATACTATGGTCGATTATAGTATACTATGGTCTATGGTTTGCTATTCTGTATTATAGTATACTATGGTCGGTTATCGTATACTATGGTCTGTGGTCCATTATAGTGTATTACAGTATACTATGGTCGATGATAGTATACTATCGTCCGTTATAGTATGTCCATTCTGGCATCTTATAGTAATCTGCAGACGTCCTAGTCCGCGGTAGACTACGGGCCACACGACCGCCGCTTTCAAGAGACCGCCACCTCAAAGCCTTCCCAAAGAAGCCTGAGCTGACAATCAACCTGAGCCCTAACCCGAAAGCCCCAAACACCGAAACGCTAAACCCGAAGTCCCTAAACCCCGAAATTCTAAATCCGAAGTCCCAAACCCCCAAACCCTGAACTCGAAGTCTCGAAACCTCAAAAACCCCGAAGCCCTAACCCCAAACCCCTGAACGATTCTGAGCCCCATGGGTCGCCCTGCACTCTCCCATGGCGATCTCCCAGAGCTGTGTCAGGAGCCCAAGGTTCAGAATTTTAGGGTTTAGGGTTCATAGGAGTTTAGGGTTAAGGGTGTTTCGTAAGGTTCTTGAGGGTTTCTTCGAGTTTGACATCAGATTCAGATTTAGGGCCTCGGGCTTGCCAGCAGTGGAAAATGCTGGCTATGTTTGGGGTTTCGTAGAGGTTTACAGGGCTATGAGCACTGGAGAATCTAGGTCAAAAACCCATCTTTAGGTGACGGAGGCTGCGACATGTAGCAAATAGCGGCAACAGCAGCTGCGCAAGCAGCTAGTGTTGTTAATGTCGAACCACCAGCATCTTGACTGAGCTTTGTTCAAGCGTTCAGAGACACTGTAAACTTCCGACAGTATGGATCGATTTCCTGCATGGCCTTCGCTGTCCACTGTCTAAGGCCAAGATGACAAAGGCCGGGGGCAAATCTGGGGCTTGCGATGCAAAAGTGGGGGGGCTTCTGTCTGAATCTTGAAGTTGGGCCGCAGCCCGGCAACCTGTGTGGGGAGGCTTGGTTGCTGGCCATCTCCAGCTTGCAAGTCGTTGTCGAAGGTGGAACACGGTATGATGGAGTCTTAAGATAGGCGTGGTGATAGGCCTGCGGCCCTGCGTGCTTCAGGAGGCTCCAGCGCAGCCGGCGTGGACTGCGCAGCGTGCTTATGCTGTTCTGGTGTCACCGCGAAATAACCTTGTTCAGGACTGAGGGTTAGATATGCATATGCCACGGTTTAGGGTTTTGGGTTTGACTGTGAAGCATCGCAAAACATCCCGCGCCCACCACGACATACCACTACAATGTCCTCTGCGAATTTTCGGAGGTCTGGAAAGCATCTCGACCATGGGAACCAGCAGATCACGGCTGCACTCGTCTACAGGCGGTGCAGGCCCCTGCAGCGCAAGACAAAGCCTTCGTTGAAGTAGCTTTTGATCCTTCGGTTTCATCTGAGCCAAAATGCCGAAAGAGCACCGGACCCTAAACCCTAAACCTAGGCGGAGGGATAACCGATGCTGAGGAAAAGGAGCTCAACAAAGCACCCTAAGCCCTAAACCATGGTCGTTAGCAGGCTGCGGACGTCTCTCCGCACGAGCTGGCCGGCGCGTTAGCCTCTTTGAGCCAGCTGCGGGAGCTGCACTTGCTGGGCCCTGAGATACGCTGAGATACCACGGGAAATTCAGAAAGCTGTCGTAGCTTAGTTGGGGGGGACCTTGTCATGGTGATCCTGAATCGAATTTGGGATTCTATAGTGGGATCCCCTGTTTTCTGAGTTTCACACATGCACGGCTGCTGAGGCTCCTTCTATTCCTCCTACATACTGCCGTCCTGGCTCCTGTCGCTGCTGTTGCGCTCGATGCTGTTGATGTTTGTTGTTGCCATGGTTCTAGCCGCTGCTTTGGTTGTCGTCGCTGTGGTCCTTGGGTGCTAACACTATTCCTGTTGCTTTGGTTGCTTTGCCGAGCGTTATTCTAGAAAGCGCCCACAGATGCCAGCTGTTGTGGAATAGCCGGCGCAATTCGACGATATTCAACGTTACGTTCCTTGGCCACCGCACCAAAACCCTAAACCCTAAAACCCACTGCCCCAACAGGTCCAGTCTGCAATTGGGCGACGCGCGAATGCAAGAGATCGCCGGAACCCTGAGCTCGTCTGGAGTGCTGCCTTAGAATTATAGTGTGATCTACTATAGTGCACTATGTAAAATGCATTGTAATATCCTGTAAGGTACTAGAATATGCTATCATGTACTCTAACATACTACAATACACTGTAATATACTGCAATATGCCACAGTATGCTACAACGTACTACAATATCCTACAATGTACAAGCTGCCCAGGCCGAGCTGTTTTCCTTGGGTCTGGATCTGAGGATCCCTATCGGAGCCTGTCGTTTGTGGTGCAAGCTCCCAGTGTCCTCAGAGCCCCTAAACCCTAAACCCTATAAACCCTATAAGCCCTATGAGCCCTATAAACCCCATAAACCCTAAGCCCTAAACCCTAAACCCTACAGACCCTGTCCTCAGGAACTTTTCCCCATCTCCAGCGCCTTTACCTGGCTCACAATAGTCTTGGGGCCTCGGCCTGAGCTTCGCGGTTGAACCCAAGAAACTCTGAAACCGGTTTAGGGTTTCGGGTGTAGGGTAAACCCCTATACCCCTAAACCGCCGGGTGTTCTGTTGGGACGCTGTCAGGCCGCGGGTGCGACAGCCTTGGCCAAAGCGTTGTGCCTTGCCGGCAGAGTAATGCGCACTCCGGTTTCTACAGACACTCGACCCCAAGCCGCACAAGCTTCGAGCCCCAAATGCCCAACATCAGGAAAACAAAATGCGGGGCTAACCCAAAATAGATCTTCAGCATGCATCGATACATGCATCAAACAAGAGCCATCACTTGGACGGTCGAGGCCATTTCTGCCGCGCCTGCCGGATCCTCGCTCCTCTAGACCCTTAGGGCTCCAGTTACCTAAATAGTGGGATACTAACCATATATTAGATACCCCAGTAACCTACTATTTACGTAACTGGAGCCCTAGGGAACATGGGTTTTTCTGCAACATGCATTGGAGACATGCTGCATTCGTACCCAGCAGCCGTGGCGCGAGGCGTGTCTTGAACCTGCCGGAGAATGCCATCCGCTCTGCAGGTACCGAGGCCTGGCAGATGTCACAAGCGACTGAGAGCGCTACAATGTGCTGAAGCCCTAGACAAACCTCCAAAAAGTGCCAGGCCTTGGCTGGCGCTTTGATCAGCGGGGCAACTCCTCTTCTGGAGCAGCTGGTGCCCATTTCCACCCGAATCGAAGAAGTGTTAAGCCTGCTTGTTCATAGGTAGTTATAAGTGGAGTTATAAGTCCCCCAATATGGGCAGTAACTACAATTCCCCGTGAACCTCCGAGTAAAGCTGCTGCGTGCGCAGCATCACAGGTGCTGGCAGGCAATGGCATCGGGACCATCGGTGTGCACTACTCAGACCGACGTGACGTTAGGTGTCAGTTTCGATGTCTTTCGACAATCGTAGGTACGTATAGGGCCGAACAGGAACTTGTTGGTGGAAGGGAAACCATGTGGACGGTTCTCGGAAGCCTCAGCGCCAAGCCTCGAGTCGGCTAGGCTTCTCGCGAGCGAGCGATCCGTTGCGAAGTTTGAAGCCGAATCTGGAACACACCAGCCAAAAGTAGCAGAGCCTGCGCAGCGTGTAGGTGACAGGTAAAATCAGGTAAAGTGAGCTTCGAAACTGGGAGTCGCCGTACGTTATTTCCTGTTTTGGGACGCTTCGGAACAAGACTAGCTGCTGGACTGTGGTTGTGGGATAGTGGTTGATGCGCTCAGCTTGCGATGTTTCTGGTCTCCAGATCATGCCAGCTTGGCTCAACGGGATGGATGTCTGGTTGACAAAAGATTCATGACCAAGATGCCAACGCACTGAGAAGACAAGGGGCCTGCATGTGGGCAACATCGTGGAGGGCTGGATTGAAATGTAGATCAGATGTCGCAAGCCGAGGTTTTGAGTGTCGAACATTCCAATTCCCACATAACCACGACACAAGATCCGCAGTCGAGTCATTGGGGTTTCCAACCAAGGAAGCCTGTTCATGTTCGGAGCCAGTCTCGGTTCCGTTATCGGAGCACGCTCGTTCATAAGGCAGTTTGTCTCGTTCATGACCCTAAACCCTAAACCCGTCTAGTACTTGCCTGCCCCGTGGGGCTCTCTGTGGATAATCGCTGCAGAAAAGGCCCTCCAAAAAAAAAGCCCAAACATACGAACTTTCAAGCCCTGCATACAAGTCGAGTGGTGCGCTTGTGAACGTGTGGAGGTGGAAGCATCAGTACTGAACTCTCACAATGCGGTCTGCACAAGCAGCCTCATTTTTCCATCCCTTGAGCTCATCTTCCCTGAGGCGCGGGCAATCGCCACAGCGCTGAAGCAGCTTCCCAGACTACAGGATCTGCCGGCGTGAACACATTGTTAGTGTTGCTATTCGTATGTTTGCTCTTATGAGTTTCCATCATCATCATCACATTTCGCTTGAGAGAGGTGTTTCTTATGGGGTCCTCTGTGGTTTTGGCCTCAAGGGCCTCAGAGCATGGTCGGAGCCTCCTACTACCCATTGCTTGAATTCATTTTTCAAGCTAACGTTGCCAGCCTAGACGGGCCTAAACCCAACGAGTTTACGGGCTGTGAGCCTAGGGTTTGCCACATCCAAATTTTTAGTGCAATCGAAACGGCTGTGCACAGGTTGTCACAGATTAGTTCCCTTTGCTGTTCACCTCATGGTCGGTTGCGGTGCGTGGCAGGACTTGCACCTGGCGCGGAACGCGCTTGGTAGTCAGGGCGTGCCATCCCAAGACTGCTCGCATGATCTGGCAAGTTTCAATGAAGTTTCCCGTGGGTCGCATGCAAAATTCCGCCAGGCGGTTGCCATTTCTCGAGCCTTGAAGCTCGACCATGCTCCAGCTTTAGAGTGGCCCTTGGCTCAGGCATGTCAGTGAATCCCCAAGCGCCAATGCACATGACCTTTTAGATTGAGCAGGTCGTACAACGTATGTAGTATATATCAGATACACGCTATAATATCCTACCGCCCATGAGTGCTATTTCAGATTCACGACCATTCCGCTGCTACAGGATACGAAGCCCTCTACTGGGATCTTATGGGTACCCCATATCAGCAGCAGAAACATCGTGAACCTTGCTTAAACAACTTAGGCCGTCTAGACGACTTGGGTCCAGTTTTGGAATCCTGGAGGATTATATGATTTTAGAGACCGTCCCGGGCCATACAAAGATATCGTGGTTCAGGGACTATGGATATACAGTTTTGAGCTTCGAAGCTTAGGCTTTTGGGGTTTAGGGTGGAGAGCTTGAGGCTGTCTCTCACGGAGAACGCCATCGGTGACATGGGCCTCCAAGCGCTGTCGGCGAGCGTCGCAAGGCCGCCCTCCTTTCAACCCAGGCATGAGTCAGCCAAGCGGCAAAGCTTCGGCGTGCTTTTTTTTCTCTTTTTTTCAGGTGTAGGGCAGTTTCTATCATTGTAATAGAATATGATCCTGAGTAGTCTAAGGCCCAAGGTGCCCAAACCCTATAGGTTAAGGCCATTGTAAGATTAAATGATGTAATCCTACAAAAAGGCCTAAGCATGCCTAAGCCCAATATATGTAAACACATGAGTCATGAGTATATACGTCTTATTATGTACATATACATATATAGAATATGTATAAAGATATGCAGATATATTTAGCTACCTATCTATGTATGTTTGCATCTATCTATCTGTCTGTCTATCTATCTATCTATCTATCTATCTATCTATCTCAATCTTGACATATACTAGATCCTAGATTTCGGGTCTTCGAGTTTCTGCCTTGGAGGATGCCGCGGCTCGAGTGGTTGGACCTGGAGCTGAACGGTCGGGAGCTTTGCTCCCCAAATTGTTCGTATGCTTATTCTGCTTTTGTTATCAGAACTGTTCTTACCATTATCACTATTTGTTATCACTATTGCTACTACTAGTATGATTATCAATATTTCTCTTATTGTTATTGTCATTGTTACTGTTCTTGCTCCTCTTCTTCTTCTTGTGGTTACTATTGTTAATATTGCTGTTATTTTGCGTTCTTGAGTGCTCCGGGCTGGGGTTTAGGGCTCTCGGGGGTTTTACATTCGGTCATCAGGGCTTAGGTTCAGTTATTTTGGGGGGGTTTAGCTTCATGTTTGTGGGTTTAGGTTGAGGATTTAGGGTTTAGGGTTGGGCTTAGGGGTTTAGGGCTTAGGGCTTCGGGTTGGGCTTAGGTATCACTGACATCGGCGCCAGTGCTCTGGGACAAGCGCTATCCCAGACGGCTGGCCTCGGATTGCGAGAGCTGGACATGCGCGGCAACAAGGCCGGTGGCTTCATCATGATTCATCGATGTACTTGAGATCCTTATAATAGCAACAACAATAGTGATGGTGCCATTCATCAGGTTGGAGAGCATGGCAGCCTACGTGAGCCACTCGGAGCTTAGCCACGATCTGCAAAGTGTTCGGAACCACCCGCAGCGACTCTTAGGTCTGGAGCAGGCCAAAGCGAACGTGCTTGGCCTTCAGCGCTCGCCTTGGCAATCGCGCTTTTGCCTTTGCTGTCACTGTAACCGTCTACATAGCCTAACCGAAGGAAGCCACCGCTCTGCATTATGACATTATGATGATCCCTTTGGAAGATGCCACATAGACCGACCAGTGACTAGAAGGCACTCTTCTGTTTGCTTGCAATCGAGGGCGTGCAGTGGACGGGGCTTGCCAGGCGGTTTAGCTATGCTCGCCGGCACAGCCCCAAGGAGTATGATTAAGTAGGCACTCCTAAGGTGCATACTTTAGAAACTTGAAGCTACAAAAGGGCTGCTAGCAGGAAACAAACACGAACTTTGTCCATTCGTGACGCCATCAAGCATCATGATGATGATGATGATGGGTAACCTTCGTTTGTGCCGCGCTGACAGATTCCCAAAAAACTCCATGAGGTTCTGGCTTGGACCCATGACCGTTGGACGTCCCCGAGCCGAGGCAGCAAGCTGAGATAGGCTGAGGTAAGGGCGCCTTACTTAGCACCACTGAACAACATTATCATGATTCTTGTTGTTCTTCTCATTACTTGTGTTGTTACTGCCACTAATTATCATAGTTTCTGTCATCATTGCTACCCTAACCCTGAACCCCAAACCCTAAACCCCAATAAAACTCTCCCTAATTAAAACCCTAAACCCGAAACCCTAATAAAACTCTCCCTAACTAACCTTAAAAACCCGAAACCACTAACAAAACTCTCCCTAAACCCTAAACCCTAATGAACCTCTCCCCAACTAAGCCTAAAAACCCCTAAACCACTAACAAACTCTCCCTAACCAAACCTTAAACCCCTAAACCCTAACTAAACCTCAAAAACCCCGAACCCTAATAAGACTCCCTAAGCCAGCCCAACACGACTACAAGGCTCCCTCCCAGCCCATCTGCGAGCCCGAGCCTCCTCCGCCCACGCGCGGCCCTCAGAGCCTGGAGGCTCCCAGGTTTTGGGATTAGGGTGTTTAGGGTTTTAGGGTTTTAGGGTGTTGAGATTAGGGTGTTTTGGGTTTTAGGGTTTAGGGTGTTGAGTTTAGGGTTTTGGGGTTTAGGGTTTTAGGGATTTAGGGTTTTAGGGATTTAGAGTTTTAGGTCTTAGGTTTTGGTTTTAGGGTTTGGGGTTTGGGTTTAGGGTTTAGGGTTCATGCTTCAACGTGCGCCCAGGGACGAAGAGTCCGTGACGGCTGTGATGTGAGAGCTTCAGACGACGACGAGCCCCAAGTCGCCCCAAGCATGATGAGAAATGGCTGGTTTGTAGGGTCCTCAACACAAGGACCCAAAAGGAATCTAGTTTTCTGACATTATGAAAAATAGCTGGTTTGTAGGGTCCTTAACACAAGGACCCAAAAGGGAATCCAGTTTTCTGAAGCCCTGCTGTAGCCGCTGCCGAGATGCGCGGCGTGGTCTTCCCAGGGTTCACTCTCTCAGCTTCCCGGCGCCATGTACAGCTGACTGTAGAGCTCACCAGTACCTATAGTCTCCGTTGTGGTTCCTTTTGGGGTTACCTGATAAGATCCTAGACATAGATTCGGTGAAAAAAAGAAAAGGAACTACAATGATGGGTAGAGTGGAGAAGCTCCGGTGGCTTTGTAGATGCCGGAGGAAGACGGCCGCTCTCTGACCTTACCGTTCCCAGCACTCTCGCGCGACAGAATCGAGCCCAAGGCGAAATAAAGTGGCTGTAAGGATTAGAAGAGCTCTCGGAACTCGGCAGTGCGATGGAATGAGACCTGAATTCCGCAGGTGGTCGCCCTGACCTGTGCGAATCTCGCAGCGAAGTACTGGCAGCAGCGAGGTTGGTCCTCCCCTGGAACTAGCTGTCTGCTGCCTCCGCCACTGCACCTGCCGCGAAGGCATCCCCGAGCAACAACTGACGGGAGCTTAGCAGATAGTGCCGTGTGCACCAAGAGCCAGCACTGGGGCCCTGCCTCGAGTTTCTTACTGAGCTGCTTGAGGCACTGGCTCTCCTGCAATGCCTTCACCCGCCAAGACTTCGTAGACGCTGAGGCAGCACCTGGCTCTTCACTTCCGCCCCCCCCCCCCAAGTGAGAAACAGCACGAACTAGAAAACATCTCCGGGAGGTGGATGTCCTCCGAGTCCTGGACTACAACGTCCACTGGGACGGGGCACTCTTCGCCGAATGGGCCTGGAGCCTTGCTTCTCAGTGGGTCGTGCACCTTTAAGTTTTCGAAGCCTCCTCTTTCTTGTGCTTTAGAAGTGCTTGCCATGGTTATGATAACACAACTCCACGGGATTATGAAACATATCATCCCCTAAACCTTATAAACTTTAGACCCTAAGCCCTATAGACCCTAAACCCTGAATGAGCGCGCCCAAGTCCTGGAGTTTCTGCTTGCGGTTCGAGCCCAGCAGCCCAGGTGCCTCTTCTCCTCTTCTTCTGTGAGGACCTGCTTCTGGAGGCTCGAAGACGTGAAGCCTTCCCTATAGTCTCCACTGGAGTTCCTTTTTATGGTTACCTTATAAGATCCTGAATAGAAAGTTGGTTAGGTCCAGTTTAGAGTTACCTTGTAAGATCCTGAATAGAAAGTTGGTTAATTTAAAAAGGAACTACGATGGAGACTATAGTTTCCTGATAGCGGGGAACCCCCACCCGACATCAATCGGAAGCCCAGGCGTCGGACATGGCCAACATCATGGCGGTGGCGTCCCATGTCATAGACATCCTCGCCTTTCAGGACGGCCGGTGATCTTCATCTTCAGATCACTTGTAGAGTAGAGCGCCGGAGACTGTCGCAGGATGAGCTTATGTCCGCATACTGGCCTTCCGAGCCAGCTACTCAAGATGCAGTTTACAAGTTCCTGCTTACCTCCCTTTTTTTGCACAGATTTGCACAGGCGCTCCTTTGTCACAGCCTCTAAACTCTTGCTTGCTGGGTCGGTGCTGCCAACATGCGGAGGTTAGCTGCGGGCACGATTCAGGCCACGATCTTCTTGTGCACGAAGTCCTTCAAGGGGTGCCCCCAACCGGGAGTTGCCATGCCGCGATGCTGGTAATGCGCTTGGTTGACCTGCGTCTGCGCCAGTTCTTAGGTACACTTTCTGCCGGCGAGTGAATCACCTCTGCCGCGCTCAGGATGAGCTTGTCCCGCTATGCATTTTGCCCTGCTCCGAGATGCGTTGATATCCTGAAAGGACTGCGAGATCAGCGCCCTGTCGGAGAAGATTTTGCAAGCTGCCGTTGGCAAGAAGGGGTGCTCCCGGGACAAGCAGCTTGAAAAGCAGACGCCTCGGCCTGCCTGGGCAGGACAGAGCTTATCATCGACGGCAGTGGCAGTTGCGATCCAGAGCCTCTTTCAGCTCCTTCCTTATGCATTTCCATTGTCAATTCCAGGGCCCTTAGAAGTGAGATGAAGTGAGCATTTCCAGTGATGAGGCCTTGCCACCCGGTGAGTCTGACTCAGAGAAGCTCTAAGAATGCGTTTGGCTGCTTGGTCCTGGTGCATGGGGATGGTGCGCCAGGATTCTGTCTGTGGCCCGCTCGTTGCTAGGCGAATTGTTGTAGTGATATGCGCGCAGATGGAGAGTGAAATGATCTGACACGGAAACTGCAGCCCTCACGCTGCAGTCAAGGCTGACACCGATAGTTGCTGACATGAGCAATCCATCTGCTCCAGCTTGTTTCTTTTAAAAGCTGCCGGACGGAACTCATGGGCTCAGCTTC